AAAAATATTGTATGGAGGAAAAATCTGTCGCGTACGTTATTATAATTTTTTGTAATAAAACCTAACCAGAGATAATTTCTATTAAAAAATGGAAGGATTGTAAAGGTACATTATTTAGCTTAGTTTAGGAATTTTTAAAGAACAGAAAAACTCTCATGATTCGCAGACTTTCGCATATATGTATATGTGCCTTAAAACCACTTCTTTTTTTGTCGCGTACGTTATCACCTGGTTTTGAACGGATATTTTCCACACCAAAGTTTCGAGGCTGCTTATTTTTTTCTCCAACATAGTACCCTTTGGTTGCAACATAACCGTAATCTTTTTTTTTCAGTAACTTCTATTTTTGATAGATTTACGTCACTCTATAAGCGTACGAATGTCGCGTACGGCTGTATGGAAACACCCATATGCCTTTCCGAAAAACTTTTTCAAGCGAATATCGAGGTAGCAAAAGGTATGTTGCAGTTATTTGTCACAGATTTTTGTAAATTTTATGGTCAACATAGCATTTCATATAAAGTTCACGGACTTCTTCATTTAGTTATAATTGTGAAAATTTTTTGCATATTTTAAAGAAAAAAGTTAAGAAACCACAACATATTCTTATGCAGCTAAATAACAAACTGAACGATATTCCAATTAAGAGGAGGTTTGAGGAAACAAATTTTTTGATAGATAAAGATTTAATATCACTTAAGTTTAATGAGATATATTTTTCAAAAAAATCTCCTAATAATATCTGTTGCGTAAATGGTCATCCATGTAAAATAATTGCTCTTGGAATAAAGAATAGAAAGCATTACGTGGTCATTAAACGTTTTTTAAACATTTCACCAGTTTTTTCATATCCCATTATTTCTTCCCAAATAGGAATAGTACAAGTTAAGGAACTGGCTGAAGAAGAAGAAGTTGCTTCAATAGACACACATATTAGAAAATATTTCCCAATAATTAATTCAGACGACACATATATTTTAATTCCGATTATCCACCCAATCACAAATTAAACATTTTCCAGTTTATTGGAACTATTGAGCCGTAAATAACAATTTTTATCATCATGGATAGGCCATTTGGTAAGATTGGCAAGAAAAACAAAAAATTATTTGAAGTCTGTTAAAAATTAACAAAATTTTTATATATTTTTTCTTTAATTTTAGTTTACAACGTACCATTTCATTTAAGTCCACCTATCGCCTAACCATTCTCCGCCTAATTCTCTGCCTTGAACTACTGTTAGCTTCCCGTCAGATTCTATTCTTAGTTTCATTGAAGCATTTAGTACACTATCCTCATCTGAATTTTTAATAATATTTGTCTTATTTTTAGATCTTAAAGCAATGGTGGGTTTGTTGAAAATTTCAGTTGAGCAGCAAACAGAGGTTATCAACCAACAAAATGTTAAGCTATTTCCATCCACTACCACATACAACATTCCTTTGCAATCCATAAACGATTTGCATCATATTGAACGACAAATCAATGAAATTAATTTTGAAAGGAGCATTGTAAGTAAAATTAATTTTTAGTTTTGGAAAAATATATATGTATGCATGTATGTATAAAATGTTCATTTTTCTTCATAATAGAAAATATTCCTTAAAACGTCTATACCAGGGTTGTTGCGAATATACGCATTCGCATTCGCAACAGCGGAGCTTCCGCATTAATTTTAACATTCGCATTCGCTTTCGCATTCGCAAAAATCAATGCGGATCTTGTGCGAATATTGTAGGGACCGGAAATAACAGTTATTTTTTACAAGTTAAACTTGGCCAAATATTTGTTATTCCGAAATAAAAGTATTTTCCGGATAATAAACAAACCGCTTATCCAAATTAAACAAGTTTGGTATCAAATGAAAGAGGACTTAAATAGCTTTAAAACTGAAATGTCTAAACGAGGAAAGCCACATATTGAAAAATATTTCAATAAAAAATTTTAATTAATTACCATAGAGCAAAAGTTGGGTCAGGTATGTATTCGAATTTAAAATTTTAAAAAAATATATATAAATAGCGGTGGTAACCTTCGTTCGTTATTTCTGTATAAAAGCTATCTAGGCCTTCTTTCATATGATACCAAATTAGTTTAATTTGGATAAGCAGTTTGTTTATTATCCGCAACAAAAAATATTAGGCAAGTTTAAAGGCTCAGTTATGCATTCTTTGCATTGCATGAGAGTTGTCACATAAGGAATATGTTAAATGAGCTTTGCGTGTAAGCGGTTACCTAACTCACAGCATTACATATGTAAAAGTCTGTTGATTTTTGATTTTTACGTAAAATTTCATGCAGTGCAGTGCAGTGAAAAATATGCATAACTGAGCCTTAACTCGTAAAAAATAACTGTTATTTTCGGTCCCTGGAATATTGTGCAAGTGCACTGATAAAACGTATATCTAACCAGTCACAGAATAAAGCATTAAAAATGAATTAAAAAAACTAAGATCGAAAAACGTTGATGGTGTTACAGGTTGTCCAAATTCCGAAACAACCAAAAGAATGAGAATGGAGAACTCTTTCGAAAACAACGGTGTTTAAACAACGATCGTGCCATGATGCTAGATTGTGAATAGGAAAGTCAGGAGGATACATCCGACATTTGCAGCGCCGATGCATTTCTCAGAACGGAATTATTGCACCGCAATAAAAATAAATAAAAAAATCCTGGCGACTGAACTGAGGGAATGGTAAATTATTTTAAACTCTCGATAAATATGCGTTTCAGAGAATCTGGTTATTTCAGTTTTCTGTTACGGGTTACAGAAGGGCGAGAACTCTCCCCAAACTCAAAAATTAAAGCCCTTATTATGAGTTGCATTCGATTTTCGATCTGCGCTGGGTATCGAAGATCGGAAGTGAAATTTGTATTATGAGCTTGCAAGCGTGTCGAGATTTTCGTTGAGTATCGAATTTTCTGTCGAACAGAATTTTGCTTTCGTTGGTGTAGCGAAGTGCTAGAAAATTGTGAAAAATTTATGATTTTGCATTTGTTTTCTTACTTTTTGGCGGCTAGACACTAATTTGGAACATTTTTTATTAATTTGATGTCGTTGTAACGTCGTGATTACTAAACAAAGCTCGAAAGGCTGGTTTTACTTGTGAAAGAAAATCCCATTACTCTGTCAAAATATCTGTCTGTATGTCAAAATATATTCGAAAGACTACACTTAAACTCTCTTATACGTTTTCTGCTCCTGGCAAGTTTTCTAAGTTCTCATCCTCTGACGAATGGTTCAATCAGAACTCCGCTGTACTCACTTTTACCACGTTTTTATTAACTCGCTTTCTTTTTTATTTCGTTTTTATTTGCACAAATTTACATAAATATGTATAAGCACACTATTTAGTTGCAAAGCTTCTCGGCGGTGAAAAATATACTATTGTGAACAACCTAAACGAGTGAAATTCACAATAGTGCTATTCTTCACCGAATGAGTGCCATAATACCAAATGAAAATTCGTTCGATCAGCACTTTCGACTAGAGATGGGCACGGGCGGGGCTTTTGGAAGGGGCCCGACGGGCCCCTGCATAAGCCCGCGGGTACGGGCCGGAATATTTGCTGTTAGCACGAACTCGTGCGTGCCTGGGCGCTCAGTAAAATTTCATAAAAGCACGAATAAGCACGAAAAAGCCCGTTGCTAATACTAAAAATTTAGATGAGCTTTTGTTTTTATACAAAAAAAATAGTACATATTTAAAACTCTTTTGATAAGAGAAAGGCAAAAAAGGAAATATTTGGAAACCGATAGAGAAAATATGATACTTAGCAATTTTGTTTACATACATATCTGTACATAAAATATCTTCCACTTTTTCTACTTCCCAGAAAATATATTATAAAAATCTTTGATGTAAAATATTGATTCGATTAAGTAAATATCCATATGGACATAAACACAAAATTAAAAATATGTACATACTAGCTTATACCCGCGGGTTTAACCCCGCGCTTTTATACAAATAGGAAAAATAATTTAATGATGTTAGATTTTATTTCTGTGCCCATTTCGTTATAGCTCGTTATTTTCTAAGCGAGTTAAGGTATTTAGGCCGTTTAAAACTATGAAATTATAAAATCTCCTCTCTCTAAGTTTACCTTAAAAGGTTTCCAGGTATACGACGCGTGAACGTGAAACCTTCTTGGAGGTGCCACGGCGAGTTCTAATATTTCCAACTCAAATTTAGTAACCTGGCCATGATAAAATACCACTTCTCATTACTGTAGCAAATGCCTCAAGAGAGCTTTAGATCATAAGGTCGAACCCGGCTCTCCCTTTTCCATTTAATGAAATTTATTCTGTCTTCCACAAACACTTCCAGGAATATGTGGCAAGAAAAAGTCAATTTGTACAGGAAGTGCCACGCCCATTTTTCTTATAACCCTAATCTTCTTCCATGAATTTAGAATTGATTTTACATACCCCAGTACCAAGTCCCAGTACTCTACCATGAACATCTCTGGAGATATGCAGTATAAAACAGTAAATTTGTACGGGAGGTACCATGTCCCCTTTTCGAATAACACAAATTCTTCTCTATGAGTATGGAATTAATTTTGTATACACATCTCGGTGCCAAGTTCCAGTCCTCTGCAATAAACACCTCCAGAGATATGCAGCATAGAAAAATCAATTTGCATGGGAGTTGCCACACCACCTTTTCCAATAACTCTCATTAGTATGGTATTAGTTTGACATACATACATGCATACTAGGGATGCCAATATTAACGGAAAATTGTGATCCCGGGATTTCGGGATATTTTTTAAGTAATCCCGGGATCCCGAGATTTATCCCGGGATTTACATTGAGACATAACTTTCATGAATATGAGTAAAAATTCAACAACAGAAAGCATTTAAACATGCCATGAAATAAAACCATTTAAAATTTACGATAAACTGATTTTAAAATCACATATTTATTAATACAGACAAATATTAAAGTAATAAATTTTTAAATTGTATTTAAAAACCATGTGATTTAGGAACGCATACATCACAAATAAGAATATAAATACCAGGTACTTTTGAATGTAACCGTTAATAAAACAACATTAAACAAAAAAAACAAGGAACATGCTCGTTGCAAGGAACATGCTCGGGCGACTCATCACGTTCATCTCGCTTAGGCACAATGTTTGAATTGTGTGTTTTTAAATGCGTGTGTAAGCCCTTAGTGGATCCACCTTTCGTTTGTAAGATTTTGTTGCACTTTTTGCATTTGACTACCTCACTTTTGTCTCTAGCAACCAAATAATGAGACCATACCGACTTGGCATCGTTTGCCTTTGTATCGTGTGGAACGAATGCTGTAAAAAACAATGAACTTAATTACTCAAATGTAATTTGGGTTTTACTTACACTGAGCATTTGAGCAGCTGGTAGTTTCGCTCATTATTCCTTCTGATTTTAGCTTTGTACAAAATCTTTAATTGAATTTACGATACTAATAAGCAACGGTTCTTTGAAAACCAGCTGTTGCATATATTTTCAGCTGACAATGTGGCACACTCATAGTTTTTAGCAGGGCAAAAAGGGGAAATTTTACATTCGAATAACCGGCCATTTACACGATCAAGAGATTTCTTTCAAGTTGCAATTTTATATTACATTTACATTGGACCAAAATGCGTGATTTGAAATCAGTCATTTGAAGGTGTTTACACTGCTTGATCCGCATTTGCTTTGACCTCTCATCAAATGAAAAGGGAAGACAAAAACAAAATGTATGTAAACAAACACTACATTTATTATATTGTTAATGCTTTTTGGACACAAAAAGGCAATTATTTTTTGTTTAAACTAAAAATGTGTAAAGCTCTTGTATAAATTAACAATTTTTACACACAAATTTCAAAGATTTATTTATGTCGTTGTGTTTGTTTTGTGTTTGAAAAATTCCAAATGTCAAAGACAAACCAAAGCTTTTGTGGAACTTTTGTTTCTGAGTGCGTTCAATAAAATAGTACGGCAATTGGAACGCATTTGTTTCGTGATTTTGTGTAAATGCGTCGAAATGCGTCATTCTGGAAATGTGAATTTGTATGGAGAAATGCGTGATTTGGCCTCGCATTTGAGGTTTCTCGCCCAAATGACGCATTTGGGCTCAATGTAAATGTAATATTAAGTTGTTTCTTTGACGACAGCATCGTGAAACTGAAATTGACTATCAAGTTACGTGCAGCTACGTCGCAGCTGCTAATTGTAATGAATTTTAACCAGCAGTATGTGTGATCAACTTGAAAACAAATTCTTGATCCTATACCTGAACAGCAAAAGTCGATTAATTAACACTTTTGAACTAACTGTAAAAATATAAGTGCATATATGGTTAAACTCACAGCTTACTTATACACTAGTAACTGCTTTTTTAGCCTCATTTGTAAAAATTTGTGAAAAAGCTTTCTCCGTTCGACTGAATGAGTTGATTTAGTTGTAAATATTACCAAATGATGCAGTGTTCAATTCAAATCAATCTACGCCATATTATATAACTGAATTATAACACGTTTCTTGGAAATTGAAAAGTTTTTATTTTAATCAAATTTTGTAATAAACATGTTCTTACTTTCAATCCGATATTTAAAAATTTTCGGGATCCCGGGATTAATACAAACAAATCCCGGGATTTCCGGGACCTGAAAAACACCGGGATCCCGGGATCCCGGGATTGGCATCCCTAATGCATACATATGTATTTCCATACCAAGCTTGAGTGCTTTACCCCAAACATTTGAAGAGATATGCAATATGAAACTTTCAGTCAGTATGGAAGGTGCTACGCCTCTTTTCCAAAAACGTCCATTTTTCTCCGTGAATATGAACATGATTTCACACAGTCTTGGCAAACTGTTAATCTGATTAACGATTAAAAATTAACGATTAAAATGTTAATCGCCTTTGACGATTAAAATTAATTAGTCGTAATCAACTGTACGATTAATGATAACATTTTTTTAATCGTTAATCGCTGGCTGCGATTACGTTTAATTAATTTAAAACATTAATCGTTAATCCAATTAAAAATAAAATCTGACTAATTTGTCTAGTTTGTCCGAGTTTGAAACCAAACACCAGTTATAGTAATTATTTTGTGTTTTACGCTCATAAAAAGCACGTAATATAAAAAAAAACTAATTATTGTTATTGGTAATACATAAACTGGGAACTTTTACAAACCTATGGCCTTATTCATAAAAAATAAAGTAGCTTTAAAAAAGGTTTATAAACTGAAAAATATATGAAAATGTCATTTTATAAAGCTCTTTAAACCTACTTTATTTTTTATGAATAAGGCCACTAGTTTGTAAAACGTTTGTTGGTATACATATATCTTAATGAAAATGCACACCAAATTGCTTAGATTGATGAGGAAACCCGACTTAGCCATACTGGATTAACTTGCTTTGTGTGCACAGGAAAATTCCAGCATAACTTAATTAATCACCAAACCTACTTGATCAAATTAAGAGTTAATGATAAAAAATTAATTTTTTAATCGCGGTACGGTTAACTGTTTAGTCGGATTAAAATTAATCATGATTAACTGTAATCAGATTGAATTTAATCGAATTAACTAATGATCTATTATTTTTAGTGGCCAAATAATAGACATAAGAACACTCATGAGAAATGTAAACATAACAAAACTGTCAAAGCTAAACTTCAAAATGGGGGGGATTGCCAGATGAATGTACGTAACCAATGTTATCCAAGACACGAACCATCATATCGGCATAGGCGCGAATTGACAGTGACAATATGGAAACGCCCACACTTACACACGATAAAAGAATCGGTGGTCACATACCACACGGCTAGGGAAATATTCTTCCTTTCCCGAATTGGACACGGAGCGAACCACACGCATCAGCCCTCGCAAGAACGGAAGTAATCCTAACCAAATAATTAAACTGGGTTAAAAGCTGGCGACATTCAGTTAGTCGATATTCACCCATATCTAATAAAGGGAAATCGACTGAGCCCAAACATAAGGAAAAAGGCTATCAGTAAAAAGCCGTAAGTGTGCAAAGTGTTCGAGGCGGTAACAGAATTTAATCGTGCTATTCGTTTGCAGTTTTTTTAATCTTGTATCTGGTTCAGTCAAAGGCAAAGGGTTCCATCATATTTCTTCCAGCGAATCCCCAACCAAATTGTGCAGGGGAAAATAAAGAAGTTGTGAATGCAAAACCTGGTCTATTCATTTGACAGCAATTGGACCCCCATTCGCAGATTATCCCAAAATCATCAAAACGTAAGTCTGCCACTTTCTTGTCACCATCCCATTGGAAACGAGCTACCCAAAAACAGTAAATCGAGATTCCTGTTTGGACCGACAAAATAAGGTCAAGCAAATCATTGGCGCCCAACTAAACGGGTCAAAAAGAATAAGTTCTTGTTGAACATAACCACACTTAAGCCCGGCATAAAATAACCGCGTGCTCATCTGAGGGAAAATAGCAATTTCATCATCGAATCAATTTAATACATCATAAAATTAGATTTAAAGAAAAATTAAAATATTTTAGTCGTTTTTCTCATTTTGTTGGTCACAAAATTGTACGTCGGTGAACCATACATATTCGAGTTTAATCGATTTTTGATTAATTTTTTCTTTTAAAAATTCTGCTATTATAAATCGTCATTGAGATTGAATCAAATAATTTTATTTGAATTCATAATCACTGTAAATCATTATCGTCCTCAGTCTTCACACGGCATGATTTAATTGATTTTTATTGGAGCTCGTTTTCAATCAAAATTTTTGTATATATTTTGATTTTTTATTTCCGAGGGGGTGAATGGAGATCGATTTGCGATGCGAACACCATTGATCAGCAGTCATAACCATTCCCGTTCAGTTCAGTTCGCCAATTCTGAAGAGCAAGTTAATTGAATTTTTTTAAACAAGTAACACCACACATTGACGGTCAAGATTTTTGAACCGATAATTTTTTTCCTCTTTTCGTCTTTCGGTATGAGTTCCAGTAACGCAACCGATAACACGGTCAATACTAATTGAACCAAACTTTTCATTTTTCTTTATTCATTACCAATAAGATTTGAAATTCGTATCAAATTAATCTCGCTTAACATTATCAAACTGGTTGAATATTCTCAGTCTGATTAGGTCTTCCGGTAAATTCGGGGGTGGATAGTCTTGATCTTTGTTGCGTCCCTTGTTGGCGACAGAAGGGACCGAAGGAGATACAGGTAATACTCCTAAGTATTCAAGGCCTTCGCTGCATCCCGGGAGCAAACAACTTGGTCCATAAGAAGATTCGAGCTAGTGCGTTAAACGCCATTCTCAGCCCACGTTCGGTATATTATTAAATTGAATTTTGGACCGAAAATCACATGAGACATACAACCAATTGAGCGTGAATTTTTTTTGTTATACTAAGAGTAATATTCAAATAGATATTGATTTATTCGGCATTATTTTATTTCGAAATTGCATGTTCAAAACGAACATTGATTTCTTTTTCCTCGCCGATTTAGCTCACACACTATCATAGAATAGAATAATAATAATATTAAATAATAAACTGAAGTAAATACTGTATTGATTTTAATCGAGTACCATCCTCTTATAACCTAGACGTTAATAGTACGGACTTTAGAACGGACTGGTAGAATTTTTAATAATTTGAGTTTACAGTTTTGTATTTGAGCCTTTCAACATGGAATTGTTTCCCATTCTCGATGCAACCTATTTGACAGACGAACAGCGACAGATCGAAGGTGAGATATATAACCTATATCCAGCCCCAGTTCAGTGGACCGACACCGAAATAACCGCTCTCAATGGTAAAATATCTGCTTACGTTGGCCAACCATGGTTGATAAAATCCTATGCCATACACCAAATGAATGAGTTGGAAATATGTGAGAGAGCATATCGAGAACTGAATGCAAATGAGGCGTTAACACCGCAAGGTCGCCTTCATCAAATGATACATTATTGTTATCGAACCGCTCGGTTAAAGTTAAAACCGGAATCGGCTCCACGCCAAGAGAACCTGGTCGGAAGGTTTCAATCGAAGATTAGTGAGCTTCGGATGTCTTCACCGAATACGGTAATTCCGACGTGCGATTCCCGATTAAGAATGAACTCGACTTTCCATGGTTTGGATAATGAACGGGGAACAATGAGTTTAGCTCAAAATACTGTTCCATCACCACGTTTACCCTTAACTAGACCGGATCCTATTTCAAACCAGTATATACCGATTTCGGTTCAGGCAACTGAACCACGGTATACCCTGACCACTAGTACGGTTAATTCAAATGCTCAACCAGCAGTTCCTAATTCATTGTCAGGCGAAACGGAACCAACACCCTCATTGCACCAACTGTCTGTAATGGTGTCTGAGTTGTTGAGAACACAAACACAGATGCAACA